CGACGAAAATAATTGTTTTTCGATTCCAGGATTTTGGGTTTGAGGCGCTGCTGCGCCCTTGCATGGGCTCCGTTCGGTCTAATATTTGGCACAGAGTCTACCTAAGACTAGTACTTTGAAAATATGAAACATTTAGCAAAATCCAGGTGGGGCCGGAAAAGGCCAAAAACGCAACTCCTCCTTTATTGATTTTCCGTTTCTGATGAAAATCAAGCTCTAATATTCTTAATGGAACCGAGCATGGGAAAAATGGACATAAAGAGAAAAGCCAAACATGGAAAAGCGGAAAAAGTGTTTCAGGTGAAAATGTACTAAATTTCCGTTTCTGATGAAAATCAAGCTCTAATATTCTCAAGAATATTGTGTCAAAATGTGTATTAATAACAAAGTTCTGAACATTTGCTGAGGTCAAGGTCAGAGGCCATCAAAAGCGTGTCGGCTCTACTTAACTGTTTTCTTACTCGGAATCGCGATTTTCGACCTCAACAACTCTAAACTGCGCTGGGAAAATCAATTTTTGAAATCTTCGGGTGCGTCCTTCACGGCAACTGGTGCGGAATGAACTCTCCGATATCGTGGCATACTTATCCCACATATTTACCTCTTCACCTTCGGTCCCCCTTTTCCATGGTCAAATATCAATACGCCAATTTGACAATTCTGCTGCGCTAAGGAAGAACGCTGTATGAACATTCGAGAATTGCCAAATTTTCTTCGATAAAATGATTTTCTTTTTTTTTTTGGGGGGGGGGGGGGNTTTTTTTGGGGGGGGGGGAGCTATGAATATTTTCCCTTGAAATTTTCAGGACTTTTCGGTGGAATTGCGAGCAAAATTTTCTGAAATTTTTTAGAAAAATACTCATAAGTTAACTAGGAAATTTGCATTTTATCAAAGGAAATTTGGCAACGCCTGAGGGCTCACATGACGCTTTTCCTTAGCACGGCAGAATTATCAACTTGCGACCACAGACACCAATTGAACGTATTTATGCTTAAAGGAACCACGTCGCCCAAAAACCCAATGTGCATATAGCTCTTTTTAGCAAAAATACAACCAATTTAGATTCCCCGGACTCTTTGCTTCCCATTTGAACTAAATTTTGCGATTAGGAACTATTCCTGACTCATTCATAAAAGCACCTAGACGTATAAGAAAACTAATTGCACATATGCGGTTTCTGACATGATTCAGAGATAGTAGTTCCTCATTGCAAAATTTAGTTCAATATGTACCTGTTATTCTTGGGGATCACCATATACGGCAAAGGACTGCAAGATAATACCGAAAAAATAAATGCAGCATTCTGGATGTCAAGAATGTGTCTTAGTAATCCCTTAATACTAGCTCAACTGCCGTCACAGTTAGCTTTACATCCTGGGAATGCCAAATCTTACTTTAGGATAAACAAAAGTCTTAAGCGTAACGCGCTATGCATAACGCCTGAGGCGAGAAGCTCTTCGGCATTGGCGGATCCAGCAAACTGGCAACACCGTTTTTCTCGTTTAACGATTTGAAAACTCCGGATTTCCTCCATTTAAACCTATGCAGAATAATCGATTATTGTCGGAGCACCTGGACTTCCCAAGAATCGATACATTTTCATAGGTTTAAATGGAGGGGATCCGTTGTTGCGAAATTGCTGGATCCGCCCTTGCTCTTCGGGGGGTTGGGCCGCGAAGTGGTGAGGGGGCGTAGCCTCCTGGTTAACTACGAAGACAAAACAACCGAAATCCTGGGATCACCAGACATATTTTTGATATCATTGATGCTGAAGCAGCATTTGGTACCTTTTGGTGAGGATAAGAATTAAATATTATATAAGATACTGTTCCGCGTCAATATTTCACGAAGAACGTGTAAAACTCGGTGAAAAAACCCGCGCAAAATCACCTGATAGAAAACTCCTAAGTCAAATTGGCCATCAAAAACAAACTTATCATTTTACAAATAGGTAAACCGAGTCATATTAGATTGGGGAGGGGGGGGGATCCTCTCTGTTCTGATACACGATACATGTGTAAATTTGTCAAGAAATATTTAGCACATCGGAAAATTAATTTAATCGTAAAAAACACTGAAAGTAGTTTTGAGGTTGATTTAATTTCAACACAAGGAAACTAGTTTTTGACTAATGAGAGGTCAAAATCAACAAGCAAAGGTATCGCTAAGCGCGCATTAATGGGTTGACTTTGAAAATTTGTTATGTGTCCAACGTGTCCTACTTGGGAAATTGGATGAGATACAGGTCTCAAAAATACAGTCCCCCTTTGAACGTTGCTGATTCCCTACTTTAATTTATTTTCTTGAAGGAGAATCCGTCGATATTCCAGATGAAAACAATGAGAAATGTGTTGAGACTCAATTCTCTATACTTATTTTTAAAGAGAACTGCAACACTGATCTCAACATGCCGATCAGACACAGAGCGCAGAGCTAAGTCAATGTCAATGTCACACTGACACTGTCTATGACAGCTCATACGTGTGCAATGTGAAATCATTATCCGATCGACACTGAGGTTACTGTATTAAATTCGTTCAAAAGGCAATGAATATATACATTTAAACGAAACCTATGGTTACAATTACTATGATAGTGGTGTTCCTAGGCACAACCAAAAGTGGTGATGTTTTTACCATTAAGTGCAATCTCACCATTGCTTTGCTAAAATTAATGCGGAGTGATTTAAATGGATACCCGTGTGATTGAATGAAAAATTAAACTGAAAGTCTCCAATGAATAAGTTTACAGGGAAACATACCTTTGTCTACTTCTCCTAAAACAGGGAGAGTACGGTGAGTGGCATCGCTTGTTTGGCTCAACGTGTCCTCTTGATTTTGTCGCTGATTTTTTGGAGGGGATGGACTTGGTGCAAGAGATTTCTTGTGTCCGGATTGGGAGGTGGCCGCCTTACTCTGAAAATCCGTAAAACACCCATCATTACTTCATTATTTTTGGTGTATCTTAATCCTCCGTATTTTAATGCTAGAATATTTGATCAGTGTTTTAATTTCAATATCGATGGCCGAAGTGCGAACCCACGTATCTCCCTTGCAGTGTTTCAAAACCCCCGCACCCATTTTATTTCTCCTGGCGAGACAAGCCAACAGAATAGCTTGAAATTTATACAGCACATTCCTTGAGAGAATAAGATACTGTTCCGCGTCAATATTTCACGAAGAACGTGTAAAACTCGGTGAAAAAACCCGCGCAAAATCACCTGATAGAAAAACTCCTAAGTCAAATTGGCCATCAAAAACAAACTTATCATTTTACAAATAGGTAAACCGAGTCATATTATATATAACCGAGAGAGAAGAAAAATCCAAAAAGTTCTCAAGAAATTACGTTGGATAGTTTTCAAAAGAAGAAATACAGTATGACAGGAGGTCTGCAACGTCACAAACAGAGATGCATCGTTTCGCACTTTTTCCATGGATATACCTACACACTGCATGCTCCTCTTATGATGCGTACACGGAACTATGGGGACCGGGGGACCCTGAGCAACCCCCCCCCCCCCCGAGAAAACCTCTTAGCCTTTTCCAAGAAACGTGAGGGATTTTGCTAAATAAATGCGTGACATATCTTTCATCTTTAAATCGGTAATTTGATCTATTTTTGGGGAAAATTTCTCTCAAGACGGCTCAATTTTTCAGACTTTTCAGGGGGAGACCCCCCCCCTCCCCGACTCCCTTTTGGAGCTATGAAAATTCTTCAAACCTTCCTTCGGAGCTGGGGAAGCCCCACGGATCCCCCTTAGTGGGATGCCTCATACGGGTCCCCATACCCTTCCCCTCGACGAGGTACCCTTCTGGCCTTCTCCACAATAATTTCCCCATTTCGCCCTTGACGATGTGCGCATAATGCTCCAAAAGCTTTTTAAATCAATGAACTACAGCATTCATTTGTAACCTTATTCGGTATCATAAGTGTGTATTTCATCGATTGCACCGTTCAAATAATCCTCTCGAATGTTTAAAAATTTGTATTTGTATATTTTTGTTTGTCTATTGTGGTTGGAATTTGGCATAGCCGTCCGACTGAGGAACACTCACACTCAGCTTCATGAACGTGTAGTCTCGTGCAAGTTATTTTTCTTGAAGTCAGACCGAGTGGCCTAGCCCACACTGTTTGAAGGCATTATGCCTACTGTCTTCATATGTATTTCAACCACTGCATCATATGTACAGCTGCGATTAGAAGAGGGGAAGCACATTTTCCAAAAAGCCAAAGACCCTCTTTTTTTGTCGGTCGGTATGTGCGTAAACGTTGTGCTGCGTGCATTCAGTTTTTCTACGTAATCGTCCGATTCCCCACCTACAGCCGTATCTCGCTACAACGTTTTCGAAGAAGAACTATGCGTCGAACGTTGTTTCCAGAAAAAAGTTTTTTCGTGCAACACTCAAATGAGGAATGACCGGCAGGGACTTGAAAAAATGAACGTTTTTCCGATCAAAACGTTATAACGAGTTGCGACCGTATTTTGATTTCCACTCATATCACATAGTTGCATCACTACTAAAATCAACTGGCAAATAATGAGTTCAGAGAGATTTACCGATGTAATTATATTTTTTACTTGAAACGGTAGAGATCCATCAGATCAGTAGAATTTTTTACTATTTTCCAACTTGTCATTTTTAGCAGGGATATCACGGTATTAAAAAAAGTGTCACATGAGGAACTTGAAAGAACTTAAAAAATCTTAAGCACCATCAAATCTTTAAAGACTCATGTGTCTCTATCATGATATGAAAATCTAGCTCGGCTAAAATGGCGATACCTGCCTAAATATTGAAGTCTATCAAGAGAAGTCTATTCATAACTTAAAGAGATATTTTCCCAGATAAACGAGCGCAATCTAGAGATTGCGCTCGTTTCATCGAATCGTTGCTCTCGAATCATCCCAATAAAGGAATAGTTCGAGTTCGATGATCATCTTATTATTATGATAGTTACTACAATAAATTCTATACATCTTAGTATTATCAGTACCGCTATTTAGATCTACAGGGTGATCCAAAAGTCCCTTCCACCCCCTCCAACTTTTTACCTAATTGAGGTAAAGATTTGAAACTTGGGGGATGTTCCTGGGTCAAAGGGAGCTACTTTATGGCCCCCCTAAAATTTTCAGGGGGCCCCCCTTGGGGGGGCAACGGCCCCCAACTTTTAATTTTCAAATGGGAAGACCCCCTTTGTGATACCTCGTCCGAAAGAGCATAAATAAAGAAAACTTTTCGCGCAAACCCGAAGTCAATATCTCAAACCGTTTCAAAATGGCGGCCGGTTAAAGTTCAAAATGGCCGAAAATTCACACCGGTTATTTGTCGATGGATTTGCGCGAAAATCGGTATGTAGAGGTATTTTGACACGAGAAAAACGAATTTGGCGTTAGATTTTCATAAAAACCGAAATTTCCAAAATGGCCGCCGGTTAAAGTTTAAAATGACCGAAAATTGTCACCTCGGTTTTTTGCAAATGGATTTGCCTAAAACTTGGAATTTGAGAGTATTTTGGCATAACATAAACAAATTTGAACTTAGATTTCTAAAAAAATCAATTTTTGGTCATTTTGAACTTTAACCGGCGGCCATTTTGGAAATTTCGGTTTTTTTGAAAATCTAACGCCAAATTCGTTTTTCTCGTGTCAAAATACCCCTGCATACCGATTTTCGCGCAAATCCATCGACAAAAAACCGGTGTGAATTTTCGGCCATTTTGAACTTTAACCGGCCGCCATTTTGAAACGGTTTGAGATATTGACTTCGGGTTTGCGCGAAAAGTTTTCTTTTTTTATGCTCTTTCGAACGAGCTATCACAAAGGGGGTCTTCCCATTTAAAAATTAAAAGTTGGGGGCCGTTGCCCCCCTAAGGGAGCCCCCCTGAAAATTTTAGGGGGGCCAAAAAGTAGCTCCCTTTGACCCAGGAATATCCCCCAAGTTTCAAATCTTTACCTCAATTGGGTAAAAAGTTAGAGGGGGTGGAAGGGACTTTTGGATCACCCTGTATAATAGATTTCAACGCTACAAAATTGAGTCGAACAATTAAATTCTTCATCAGAATATAACAGGATATATATAGGGAATTTCTGTCAAAAATTCTGATGTTTTTGTTCGTAATCAATGAGGCACAGTTCAACAAAAAGATTGTATTACTCTTGGAATTCAATGCAATATTATTGGAATTTGTGTTACCACGGACTGCAATATTTTACATAATTTGGTCAATAAATGCCGCTCTCAAAAATAGATAAAATAAGCTCCACGAGAAAGCTAGGCAGGCAATGCGCTTTGCGAACAATTTGCAACGTATATCAATTTGATTGCAATGAATTCCATTTACAGGAACCCCTTCAATCAGTGAATAGACAACATGTACATCACTTTGGCGCAAAATCATTAATTTTACCTTGCAGTTGCAATCTGCATGTGCTTTGGGAATCAGAGGAACAATTGGTGACATTTTCAATTACAAAAGCCCAATAGTTCTATAGTAGACTGGGGGCCACGCCCCCTGACCGCTTCGCGGTCCAACCCCCGAAGCGATTGAAACCTCACGCGTAATGCGTTTCGCGTTACTCTTGTGGTTTTATATCACAAAGTACGATGTGCAATTTACGAGTAGGACTATTGCAACGTTGAAATGCCCTCGTTTGGGCAACAACGTCTTGTAGCCAGGGAGAATGCGCACGATCTTGGCAACATTAGAGTCCCTTTATACTGAGAGTAAGGACAATGCGAATCCAGTTCTGACTGGTTCACTTTTAGTTTTCATTGGTGTCACAAACGGAAATAAAGATTACATTATTATCAATTGCAAAGATTATAAACTGGAATGGACCGGAAAATCAGGGGTAAGGCAAGGGAAAAGTGAAATTAGAGAGGGAAAGGAGACAGGAATTCGGGAATGGGTTGATCAAAGATTACAAAATATGTCCGATTTGTGTAATCTTTATTCCCGTTTGTGACATCCATAAGCCGCGTTGTCTAAACTCTCTCTATGGCCTTGTCTCCATGGGCCGTTTCACGGGATTTGTCCCTGGGAAAAATCCTACTTTCGAAATTGGGAAAAATATTGAGTCAATCAATATTTTTCCCAGCGCAAAGTATGGTCCTTGTACTCCTAGGACCCACTGAGAGAGGAAGAAGAAGTGGAAACAAATTGTGCGATTTTGTGTTGATTACTCCATTGTTAACGTTTGTTCAGTTAAAATAATGTGTATAATTGTCAATCGAGTGCATTATTTTAATCCCGTTTAAATACTCGACTTTAACTAATTTATCTTCCCGCGCAAACTAGTCCCAGGACTGTATGAGTCCGGTCCTGTGGAGACGGTGAAAAAAAAATAAAAAACTTCTGGGATAAATCCCAGAAGTTTCATTCCTGCGATTCAAACTTGGGACAAATCCCATGAAAAGTCCCGTGGAGACAAGGCCTATAAAGGGACTCCAGGCAACATCTGATGGAACTTTGGACGTTTTAAATTTCTACTTTCCACGTAATTTAACCTAGAGTACCTATATTGAGAGAGTATGGCCACTGGGCCCCATGGAGAGGCTTAGGACCCAAAAATGGCGGTGCTCTGTTTTGGTTTTCGTGGATGGGAGGGGGGTCATTGCCAACTATAGACGGTTATCACCAACCGCACTTGCTGCCAACTTTACTACATCCAAGATAATTTTTCTCAAAAATTGCACACGATTAGCCTTAAAAATATGTAAATAAGTCGCAATAGTGCATTTGGGTAAATTTCTCGTTACGATAAGCAAAGAAAACTACATTTTGAGTCATTTTGCATTACATTAATTTATAGCGTCCGCCATTTTTGGGTCCTAAGGGCTCCATTCAGCCTAAGATGGCTGAGCCAATCAGAGGTGGTAACACCAGTGGCCATACTCTCTCGATATAGGTACTTTAATTTAACCTGATACGATCCGGCCGTGGATGGAACCCTGCTTAAATCAGACGCCAAGGAAGAAGAAGATGCCGAGGATGTCGTTGACTCCTTGGAGTCCTCCTCTTTGGTGTCTTCCTTTTGGGTTTCTTTTTCTTTGGTTGCGTTCTCTTGACTCCCCTTCACGTAGGTGACCGCTCGCGTAGCCTCCTCAACCTCGGCCTGTTGCGCCACCCTTCCGTCCTCGTCGGAAACTGATGAACGAGTACCTATCACAAGCCAATCAGAACTCGTCAAACACAAAAAGCAAAAAACCTCTGTTATACGAACCAATGGACCACTACACAAGGAACGAATATAAGCATTTTGATACATGTTTCTTAACCAGAATTTCACGTAGAGCACGATTCGCGCAACGAAAACTAATGAAACAAACTCTGAACAAACATATTAACGTTTTTATTTCACATTGGTTACGAGGAATTTGAACTGCCCGCTCACAAGAAACTCAAAGCTCTACGTGAGTCAAATCGCGCACTACAACGGTTTCAACAAGCTTTTCAATCGAGTAATGTTCATTTCCCACCGTGTGTTTTTCAAACTATAAGCAATTTGCTACAGCTGAGTTAGAGCGTCAAGATTGAGGTTGCCAGATTTTTATATCGCAGAGACTGTCATAATAACGTTTAGCGCACGATGTGAATCACGCAGAGCATTGAGTTTTCATGAGCGGGTAGTTTGAATTCACGCATCAAGAATCATTAAATATCTTTGGAGGGAGTTGATTTCGGTAATTTTCGTCGTGCGCGTCATATTCTACGTGAAATTTTAGTTAAGAAACATGTACCAGCATGCTGAAATTCGTACCTGGTCTAGTGGTCCATTGGACGTATTTCTATCAAACGGAACTAAGCGCCAATTTCAGTTCCTTTTGAGGAATTTAGAATGCCGGATAGCGCGTTCTGTCAAACAGAACTAAGCGCCATGGAAAAGCATTGCGAGTATAGGACGGAATGAGCCCGACGATTCTGCCGCCAATCCAAGCCCCCCTCTACCTTCCTCACCCTATGGCGCTTAGTTTCGTTTGTCAAAGATACGTCCAATTAACTCTAGAGTATCTTTATAGATAGAGTATGGCCACTGAAGGCTCCAATCGTAATTGGCGCAGGTATCTTCAGTGCTGCCAGCGCATAACGCCTTCTGGCGCCTACAAGACTGAATGGATACTTCACACATGGCGCGTACACCACGGAGGATACTTCATGCATTGCACGTGCATCATGGTGCGTATGTGTGATGCGTGAAGTATCAATGCAGTCTTGTAGGCGCCAGTACGCGTTTTGCGCTGGCAGAACTGGGTATCTTAGGCCTTTCGTGGAGCTCTTAGGATCCAAAAAACTGGCGGACGTCACATGCAGACTATTCCAAAATGCAGATAATGAGGTTTTATTTGCAAATATGACCATGCAACTCACTCGAAGTCCAAAGGCACACGTATTTACTCAGTTTTGAATCCAGCTTCGTGTACTACATTTGAAAACGTATTTTTAACTTGAACCTCTACCACGGCAAGGTTGGTAACTGGTGCAGCAGGCGACAAACGTCAAAGGTTGGCAACAGCCCCTTTTCGCCCACGCCCACCTCTGAACGCTTTGGTCCAGGAGCGAGGCCTGATGATCGATTATATCGATATTTCTCCATTTGAAGCTCAAGTAAAGAATCGATTATTAAGGTGTTCGTTGCGGAAGCCCTGTTTATCGATCCTTTTCCAAAAGTTTAAATGGCAGATCAATCTATATAACGCGAAGCACGCCACGCCACTGCTTTGGTCCGTGATCGCCCCCTCATTTATGGGAAGAAGATAGAAATAAATAAAATATTAAACATTGAAATGACTACATTTTTGAACTGGGATTATCAGAGACTATTTGTTGTCTTCGTTTTCTCTCATTTTTATTATCTATGTTTCAGCGTCACAAACTGCTTTGCAACATTTTACCTCATGATCTATCGTAGCAAAATAATGAGTTGGGAAGCCGACGGTTTAGTTGCTTTGCGAATTTTAGAGTCGAACTCGAGTTCTTATATAAGTACTGATTCAATCCCACAGAGGACTCGAAAGTTCTCTCACTGGTAGCTCTCAAGCACAATCCCGGTAATACGAATAATTTACTGTCTCCGATGGCCAATAAAAAATTAAATATGTTCGCAGTGGCAACATTGGAATGAAAACATGGACTTCCATACAACTGCTTACGCAAATTTCTGTGATTACAGTGTCTGCGCAAGCATAGATGAAAAAAGTAGATGAATTTGAAAAACTATATACCGTTCTCGACTTGATAATGTCTGTATATGCTGCCGTGATAAACAAAAAAACGCCGTATGTATGTGTGTATTCGGATGTTGCCAGATTTCCTCCGTTTATACGTATAATCATCAATGAGGAAATTCAAGAATATTTTTCCTTGAAATTTTCAGAAACTTCAGATAAAATTGCGAATGGAGATGTTGCATGTGTGAGGGATTTACGATTTGACCATTGATTCTTATGTGAAAGTTCGCGAGAAACACGATGGTGCCACTGGTTTTCTCTGAAATCATCTCCCAAGCTCAAAAAAAGCTCTCAAGTTGGGGCCAAAATAGAGGGGATATCCCACGCTACCCTGAGAGTCCACCTCTACATCAAAACAAACTCCTCATGCATACTGCATAGATAGGGAGCAAATACATTGACAGGGCTGCCATTTTATTTGGGGACTCCAAAACTGAAAACACGGCAACCCTGCTAATGTATTTGCTCCCTATCTTTGCATGGAGAGTTCGTTTTGGTGTAGAGGTGGACTCTCAGGATATCCCCTCCATTTTGGCCTCAACTTGCGAACTTTTTTCGAGCTTGGGAGTTAATTTCAGAGAAAACCAGTGGCACCATCGTGTTTCTCGCGAACTTTTACCTAAGAATCAATGGTTAAATCGCAAATCCCTCACACATGCAACATCTCCATTGCATTGCTTATTTCTCCAAAAGTGACCGTGTGTGGGGAAAAGGACGTTTGTGCACGGTGGTACATTTCAGGAGAGCCATGTTTATCAATTTGAGCTAATAATTATTTGGTTTTTATGTGAGGCTCAAGCGAGAAACATTTTTCGTATCTCAAAGTGCAACTTACAAGGGATTCAGTTCGTTTTCGTCGTAGCGGAGCGAGCCGTATATCACAAGCTGATCCGACAACCATGAACACCGATCACCAGAGTTGAAAACTTTCCCCTCAATATTTTGTGTTTTCTACCGCAAACGTAAAACAGTCATATAGCTCTGGTTTAGGGTAAAAAAGCTCGGTGGTTTTTTATGAATTTCCCCAGAAGGTCACACATAATGATGTACCTATCATTCAAAAAGCAGTCTTTTCTGTGGTTGAGGCAATATTCATATAAAATACGCGGTGCTTGTCAACGACCTCCAATACCATCTGCCGACTTACAAATTTTGATATTTTTCTAATTTATATATTCACTTCCATATTTTGTGCTGTCAGAAAAAGCTTTGCTCGGAGATCACAGGAATCACGTCCTATTTTTCCGTTAAAGATAAATTACGGATCGAACTTCACATTCAATGAAACTCCTGATTCCAAAAACCGACCGATAATTTCGGTTCTTTTTGCTCGCGAGGATGGCGGCATATCGACGGTGTAAGTCGGCAATCACATAGGTAACTCGGTTTGCGACGTCGCAGACTTCCTGTCATACTTTATTTTTTAAATGGAAAACTACTCAACGGCAATTCTTTGAAACTGTCATGATTTTTCTTCTCGATGCGAAGAAAATTCTGCAAAAACTTCAAGAAATAATATCAATTTGTTCTCCTTAAAAAAAATGACGTAGAGGCGGAGATTTTCAGACACCGCAAACGAGTTATGTGATTGCCGACTTTCACCGTCGATATGACAGTAAGTGTGTACTTCTACCTTGGTAAAAATTGGCTGCACGATAGTACTTTAAAACATTAGCCCGGCTTCAGGATTTCTTATTGCTCTTGTAGCCTAGCTACACGGGCAATGAAGAATCGTATAGCCAGGCTATGCTCCAAAATACTTTTGCACAACCAATTTTTGCCAGAGCTGCTGCTCTCCGTAATTGAAGGCCTCGTAGGATAAGGCGCATGAAGACATGCAGTTACTGTTTCATGAATCATGCCTTTAAAGTTTCAAAATTACATAGAGTTTTTTGGCGAAAAGAAAGTTCAGACTAAATTTTTGATGCATGAAAATTGGATTTTAGTTATGACTAATTGAACGCATTTCTGTCAAACGGAACTTAGCGCCAAATTGAGTTCCCTTTGAGGATTTTAGAATCTCGCATAGCGCGTTCTGTCAAACGGAACTAAGCGCCATGGAAAAGCATTGCGAGTATGGGACGGAGCGAGCATCGCGTTCCGCCAATCCAAGCCCCCCTTTCCCTTCCTCCCCCTTATGGCTCTTGGTTCCGTTTGATAGAAATACGCCCAATTGTTCAAAAAATATATTGTTGGTAAGTAAAATAATGAGACATGTTATAGTGCAGACAGTGTGATACATTGATTCCCCAAAAGTGATAACGTTCTTACAAACCTCCTCCCACCCTCATTATAATATGTTGCTTTTAATTTTTCGACAAGAAAATGTTCACATTATTGGTCCTCGCCATGATGTGTCTGCTTACTTTGAGAACGACGAGGTGAATGAGTCACTTGTTTTAGGGCATCCTCCCTCCTTTTGGTGACTTTTTTCAAGTACCACTTCTTGAAGCCACCAGCCGTGCTGCCCATAAGTTTTATTCGCTCCGCGCGGCTGAGTTTGACAAGCTTGTTAACAAGACACCAACAAACGGAGAGAATGCATTTGCCTCTTGTCACCGGCACAAAGTGTTTTATCGCTATTTCCACCTCTCCGTACTTCCGATTGCAGTGAGCCGTGCACCTTTGATCTTCATACACCCTCCACGGTTTCAGACTGATTGAGCATTTCCGCGCTGCGCCTGCAAACGACAATGATACAACACACGCACATTATTGGCCTATCAGTATCCGCGCGTGGAGAACATGGATACGTTTCATGCATGGGCTATTTTTCAATGTCAAGGAACTAGTTTGAAGCATTTTTAGATTTAAAAGCATTTTTAGACATTAAAAAAATCAAACCATCTTCTTTTCATTTTTTTAATACAAATTTTATTAAAACATATTGTAACTCGTACAAAGACTATTTCCCTTGTATCCATCTACATGAATTAAATTTTTACAAAGGTATTAAGGGACAAAGTAACGTTATACTACATAATAGCTATAGAAGGAAAAGAATTATGGAATGCCCTGACCTTCGTTTTTAGAAAATAAATATCTTAAACATCTCTTTAAGGCAACAAGGAGCTTTAAGCGAATAAAAAAATCACGTTTCCAAAATTGGTGGGTGTTATTGAAGGAACAGACCCTCGAGATGCGATTTTTTCGTTCACAAGAAGCCCCTAAATGTATTCTTCAGAGATGGTGAAATTTTTTGTTTCATTAAGGGCGCTTTTTATAGCCTAAAAATGGGTAGTTATCAGATTGTTCAATCAAAAAATTGAAAAAGATTGCCTATATTTTGACTAAAAGCTGCAATCCCGGAAAACCCGCGGACACCTCCTTAATTCGCTAATCATGTCACAATTTTTTTGCTTGTTTTCTTTTTTGTCGAGAATAATAACACCTGAAGACTTCCTAGATAAGTAGTCTCGCGAACTCTCGACTTTGGCTTTTCTCATGTCAAAATCATGGTGAATATAGAGAATCTGTAGCTGCTTAAACCCCTCGATGTATAAAAATGGAAAAATATTCATAGAAACGTATTTAATGGGAAGGAATTATTAGAAATGAAGCACGTAGGAACGAGAGTGGCACACGGTTGCTTTTTTCCATCTTTTATAGAACCGCAAAAAACTGTTATTTGTTCTGGGATGAAACATTTTTTTTCAACTGAAGCTTAAATTACATCTTGGGATCAGTATGATTAGACCTGAAAATGTCAAAACTCAAGGTCTACATGATTCTATTGATTTCTTAGAGGGATAAATGGACTTATACCTTTTTGATTATCATTTGTTTTCACTCTTATAAATCGTTGGATTTTATGCTATTTTCATCTCAAAACATCAATGATGCAAGCGACTTTTCTTTGGAGGACACGCTTCAGTGTGAGAGGAGACAAATAAAAACAAGCAGTGAACTCCAACACAATGTGTTGATAAGGCGCGTCATTAACTCGCACATATCAACCCCTTTAGTTTTCATTTACAGAGATTTCAAAATAGGCAAACAGCATAAAAAGAGAATTCACGATCCAACACTGCGAGGTCAAAGACGCACCTTGACGAGACCGTGTATTGTGAAAGTAGAAAGCTATTCGATCGAATTTAAGTTTTTTGATCTGCCTCAAGCAAAATCTTATCAGATTCTTGAAGAAAAGTGCTACGGAATAATTTAAGCGAAGAAAGGAAAAATTCTGTCGAACTCCTAGAAGATAAAGTCGATTTAAAGGTATTTTGGGGCTAAAATACCCAAATCACCGGTAGTAAAAATCCCGTTATATTATTGAAAAGAAATTGACTCGATATAAATGCAATTGCATTAAATACGTCTTGATTTTGTTATTTTAAACGTCTTTACATGCAAAGAAGTTCAACCATGTCGTTGCTTTATTCATTCATGAATTGAAAGTAAGCAATCTACATCCCGAAAATCTACTGATTTGCCGTAAAAAATTGCAGAAACTTGATATACCAGGTCGATGCACCCACTCGTTGAATTTACCAACCAATTTTGTGAGTGCAAATGTGTAAGAATCAATATGCTATAGTCATTTTGGGTGCATTTATTTTTCATGAAACAATAATAATTTCAATCCCGAAAAACCATCAATTTTCCGTATAAAATCGAAAAAATCAAAATATGTCAACTCCCCGACGTGAAAATTAGATTCTACGTATGTAAAATGTAAATACTTATGTATCGATATGCTGAACAGAACTATGTGTGGACAGTCAGAAGCCCGCGGCAACATTAATTCAACAGAAAAACTGTAAAAATTAGATAGGATTTTAGCCGCTTTGCCCGCCTCTCCTCGCTACTTACAACAAACCGTTCTTATACTCATCTCAAAATTTTTCTCAGAGCTTTGGGTTATTATCAGCTTCCATTTAAACTCCGGTTCGATGGCCGAATCGGCTGCCAAAAAAGCAAGCCACTGTTGAGGGGTTCTATGAGAAATTCGTGATATTATCGGCTCTCAGGAAATCACCCCATGGCTAAAATCGGTGGTATAAATGTTTAAGTGCTTAAAATAATCGTATTCAAGAAACTAAGGAATAAAACTATGGATTCAATTTCTTTTTAATAATATGACGGGATTTACTACCAGTGATTTAGCTATCATAGCCCCAGAATACTTTTAAAGCGCCTTTACGTTCCAGAATCTTGACGGAATTACGGAATTTTTTCTTTTTTTTTTTTGCTTAAACGATTCAAGAGACATTGTAGTTAAGAATATAAAAATTTTTCGATTTGGACGTATAAAAAATGTTTAACTCGTTCAGGCACACCGTGTATTGTATGGAGTACTGCTGTTATTCGACCGTTGTCTTCAGGTCAAAATTCTTACAAAGAAGCCCCTTGCAAGAGGCAAATTTTTTGTAATTTCTCCCAGTTTTTTCAGCGTTAGGTATATAAATGAATTGTTTGTCAAATTTTGAGGTCAATTATATTTAATTGTAATTTATACTTTCTTTTTTTCCCCTTCATTTTATTTTTCGTATCGAGGAGTCGAGGTTTTGTTGATTTCTTCGGATTTCGATTACTGTAACTTCTCTTCTATTCGGCCGATTTTTATGAATGAGGTCTCTTTTTATTTGTGTTTTAACGGAGAGTAAGGAAAAAATTGCTAAATACATGCGAAACAATTTTTTTTGAAAATTGGATGAATCCTAGCGTGACGGTGAAATGGTTAATGAAGCGTGAGTAATTGGGGTACGGGTATCGGCCGCGTTGGGACCCAAGGCCCATTGTTCTTCGTGACGCCGACGCAGTGATCAGGAGCGTGGGGACGAGAGGGCTTAGTGGACTCCTGTATGAGCCACGTTTAGCAAATGGTCTAATGAGTCTCGAGGCTCATCACAGATTGCACTTACCACTATCCTGGTGGCCCCGGCTATCAGAGCAAGGAGTACCAACTTTTGAAAAGGATAACAGTGTTGTGGAGATATGTCAAAGCAACGTTGTGAACAAAACGGAGTGAGTGAAATTCTCATTCAAGGAGTGCCGAACTGGTCAGCCATCCTCGAATCAGTTCGCTTGCTTCCGCTTATATATGCATATTTTAAATCAGCGCGCCCCATTCTAAGGTTTTTTTAAAAAAAACCAAGGAACGTAGACTCTTGGTATTCATTACACATAAACTAGCGAGCCCCAGAATGAGAAACAAATTTTAATCATTACTATTGACGGATTAGTAAACTTTTTACACGCTTTGGAAAATCTCAGAAGTTCGCGGTAGTCACTTTTCGGTAAGGAACTAGGGGACTCGGTTATTGTATCGAGGGGGGGGTCGAAACGATCGCAAAGGCGGTATACTACGTATACGCGCCAAAAAAGTCCAGTAAAGACCTGTGGTGGAATTTATTTTCCTCAAGGTGTGCCTGTTATTTAAAAATTGTCCAAATGGGGATTAAATCTTGATTGTGTTTTTTCTTATTTTTTATTTTTTTTTTATTTTGTTTATACAAATTTGTATGCATTTGGCTGGATATGTACGTCCACTCAATCCTCTTCATTTTGGTGTTATCTAAACTTCGTCAAAAAGTGGATTAATGCCCTTTTGGGTTTTGTATGCTTCAAACGAAACCTGCAGGTCTAAAATAAGGGTTGAGCGAGTGTATTACGGAACGTAGAATTGCGCTCATGCTATGACCAGGCGTCCCTGAGCTGCAGCCTACAGCCCATTGTGCGCCTGGCCCTGTATTTTCCCTTTTAATGTCTCTGATGAGACGTCATAAACATGTTAACAGGTGTTAGCCCTAGTCCCTTGTGTCCCATCTACAATCTAGTGCCTCACCTCCACATCGCGAATACAGTTTCTTGGCCCTCCTTAAATTTCCTCTTTCATTCCACGGATACCCCCATTTGCAACTCCGATCGATACTTTAAGCGAAGAATTTTATTTTGGCCGTAGATCACCCATACTTTCATCTCAGTTTATTGTATTTTGACAGTACTAAAAAAACCCTCATTACTTGTAAGTAAATTTGATAAGGTCTGCTCGTTATTTTAAAAACGATGGAATGCTTCCTCAAAATTATGTGTCAAATTCGTTTGACGAAAAAAAAGAAAAAATGCAGACCGTCTGTTTTCCTTCAAGTAACTCTAGTTTCCGTTTGCTGGAAAGTCCAGACGGATAATTTAAAAGCTGCTAATTAGTTTTACGCATATACACTTATGAAAACCGAATCAATGGACTGCTGGACAGGATACAATATTTAGCATTGTCTCGCATGTTTTCGCATCGACACTGTACGTGCAATAAAGGACATATGGATTGCATTTTGCAAAAAGGAACCAAAAGCATTCCGATGCTGCTAGGATTGTGCAACTTACATTTTTGGTAATACCAATACTGAAATCATGCCAAAAATTAAATTTACAAAGGTAATTTTTTTCATGAATTTATAGTTTATTGAGAGTAAAGATAAAACTTGTTTGGATGATCAGTTTATGTTTGCGAGGTAAATAAAGTTGCACAATATTAGCAACATTGGAATGCTCCTGGTTCTTTTTTGCAAAATGCAATCCATATTAAAGATGTCCAAATTTAACTCATAAAAAGCTTTTTCCATGAAATTCATTATTTTATCTCACTCCTTTCCAAGTAGCATTTTTCAACAGAAAAATCGCTAAATATTGCGATTTTATCGGCGATAAAATGGCTAGAATCATCAACATCTGAGGGCTA